ATAATAATAATGATACTAATAATAATAATAATAATAATAATAAAAATAATAATAATAATGATAAAAATAATATATAGCATTTGTATAGCGCTTAACCCCACTTTACAGCAAGCTCTCTGCGCTTTAAACTATATTATTACCCCCAGCCGACCACAGAACATTCAGAAACATTCTCAGCTTCTCTGGAAGTATACAGTGCAAGCAGCTGATTAAGCGTTCAAACATTAACAAATCGACAAGATCTTTCACTGTCTATAGCTAGGTACCCTTTCCCACCTGGGTGAAGTGAGGAAAATTTGTGTAAAGTGCCTTTCCCAAAGACACAACGTCAGGTCCCTATCTATATATAGATAATTCAAATTTATAGACTGAGCTGATACAAATTTGATGAAAACTGCATCAATGGAATATCTACACATTTGACCACACCATATGTTGATTTTCAGACGATATGTACATTCCCAATATGTGAGAAGTAGCTCATTCTTGCTGCACACCTCATTAATAATAATTTTTTTTTAAATCCTCCCACACCTGAGATTGCGAGTTCGGGGGTTCCAGCCTCAGCTCGGTCCGTCGCTGTGTCCTTGGGAAAGGCACTTTACACGAACTTCCCACTTGGCTCCGTCCTATCGGAGACGAATGTTAAACTAGGAGGTCCCGCCCCTTAAATAGCCTAATAGTGTTGATAGGGGCGTTTAACCCATACCATTTCACCATACCTGAGAATCTGCGTCAGTGGCCGTGACCTCGAAGATGGAGTCTCCCGGCTGCACAGACTCAGAGATGCTCCTCACGTACGGCAGATTGATGAACTCCGGAGCATTCTGATTCCTCACAACATTGATGAGCACCAGAGCCGTTGAATCGGAGACGAGCTGTGGCGTGCCGCGGTCTCTCGCCTCGACAAGAAGCTAGGGGGGACAAGCAAACAAGTCGGTGAGCAGCCAGTGAAACGATGACATAGAGTGAGTCGTGTGGATAAGAATAAAAATAAGAACGAGAATAAGAATAAGAATACTAATTTTAGTTTTAGTAAGAGTTTTATGGCACTTGCAACCAATAAGGTCATTTAAGTGCGGAAGAATAAGAATAAGAATACGAATAAGAAATAATTATTTTTTTTCTTTTTAAAATGTGAAACAACATGATCAAATCCAACGTTCATCAATTTTTAGGCATATGGAGTTATTAGTATAATCACAAATGCTTGTTCTTTTGTCTCACTTTTTATGAAAAAAAACACCCATCTGTCTTGAAGAGAAGTTGAGATATTTGTAATTGAAGACCAGGTGTCAGAGGTAAAACTAGCGAGAAAATAGCCGCCAAAGTTTGGTGACTTTCACTGCTTGAGAGTCCTTGCAAACTGAAAAATTTTCTTTAATTTACATTTTTTGTGTATTTGATAATGGACATAAAGGTATTGTTGCGTAATTAAAAAATCAACAGTCGCTACAGTTGGGAACCCACAGGGAGCACGAGGCAGGGGTAGGCCACGGGAAACATAGAGGAGATGTGTGGAAAGGGACATGAGAGAGATGAAGCTCACTAGGAACGAGTTTGGAAGGATGGCCCAGGACAGAGATAAATGGAAGGAGCTTGTATGTGGCTTATACCCTACCAGGGGTGAAAGGCATTGATGACGATGATGATGATGATGATGATGATGATGATGATGATGATGATGATGATGATGATGATGATGATGATGATGATGATGATGATGACGATGATGATGATGACATGAATGTACCACTTTGGTTTTTACAGCTAGTGTAGTCATTTATATTCTGAATGTTCCTGATGAAGCCTGTTGAGGGCGAAACGTTGAACTCGTCATTAAATATCTTGGAAATACTACCAGGTCTTAACCGTTTTGCTATCTGCTGTATACAACGATGATCACGATGATCATGATGATGATGAAAAAGTAAAGACATCAGCAAAGAATGATGATGATGAAAAAGTAAAGACATCAACAAAGAACTTACCCGATAGGGGCTTGTCTTGTCCACATCAGTGGTGAGGGCCTTCTTCACACTCACTTGCCCTGTGACCTCGTTCACTTGGAAAAACTCCAGCGCTTTAGTGTCGCCGGTCAGGACGTAATACACCGTGTTGTGTGGGGCCTGTGGCACAAGAAAATCATACCTTATTCTTCTTCCTTTTATTTGTTTGTTCCTCCTCCTCCCTCTTCCCTCCTCCCTCCTCCACTTTCCTCCCTTCCTCCTCCCTCCTCTCTCAACCATTCTCCTTCCTCCTCCCTCTTCCTCCTCCACTCATCCTCCCTCCTCCTCCTCTCTCCTAATCCTTCCTCATCCCTCATCCTCCCTCCCTCCTCCTCCTCCTCCTCCCCTCATCCTCCCCTCATCCTCCTCCCTCCTCCTCCTCCTCCTTCCTCCTCCTCCTCCTCTCTTCTCCTCCCTCCTCCTTCTCTCTTCTCCTCCCCTCATTCCTTCTTCTCCCTCTTCCTCCTCTCTCCTCTTCCTCTTTCCTCCTCCCCCCCTCCTCCCCCCTCCTCCCCCTCCTCCCTCATCCTCCCTCCTCCCTCCTCCTCCCATCCTCAATCCTCCTTCTCCCTGTGTGCTGCTATTTCCAGGGTGCCTTAATAGTCGAAGCAGACTTTGTGCTGTTGAGGCTAGAGAAGTGAGCAAAGTAAGCCTGATTCCCCATTTGGACTTCTGCTGTCAACATCCACCCTTTGGCGCTCATATGACCTTATGCAGTAGTGAACGCCGAAAAACCTCACTAAAACTACGAGGGTGAGTCAAAAAGTAATGCAAGTTCGTTTATAACTTAAAGAAAAAAGAACACACTTGCAGCTATCATCCCTCAAATTGAAGGGGAGCATCTGAGGATCAGATTTTCATTTGCCAACATAGTCTCCATTTTGATGTGAAGTGTTATTCGGGCCAAAATTAAAGAAACTTAAATTTTAACAAATCAAGTTCAAAAGTATATAAGCAAATGCTTGGGAGCTGAATTTCATTAAATTTGATGAATTAATTGTGCAAAATAATGAACAACCGGCATTACTTTTTAACCCCCCCCCCCTCCCCCTCGTAAAACGAACTCTCCGTCCACCTACCTGATTGTCCGCGTCTGTGGCAGAGACGCCCACGATGTCGATGCCAAAAGGCTGTGTCTCCTGCACATTGCCAAAGTATGGGTCACCCACAAACACCGGGGCGAAGAAGTTCCTCAGGATGTTGATCCTTACCACCACAGTGGCACTCCTGGCCGGGGAACCATTGTCCGCCGCCACCACTCTCAACTACAGCAAAGAAAACGAGACACGTCGGGGTGGAATCAGACACTCGTAAATTTTTGGGCATACAAAGTTATAGGTATCATCTTAAAGCCTGTCCATTTTTCTTGCTTTTGGTTGAAAAAATATCCGTTTATCTTGGATACAAGTCGAGATATTAGCGATTGAACGAGGTAGGGGTCGCTTGGTTTCAGAGGAAAAATTAGTGAGAAAATGGCCACCAAAGTATAGCTATTTCCTTAGCTTGAAAGTGCCTGTAAACTTTAAAATTACATCTTTTTAGCCTTTAATCAACGTTTTTCAGTAAAATCCCCACAGAAATGTGTTCTTTAATGGACATGATTGAAGGTGAAGAGCCAAAATACAAAAATTTGAGAAAAATTTCCAACACTTCGGAAAAATGACAGTTTCTTCACTTTCATTATTTTGACGGGCACCTAATTTCACCACGCTGCCTCACAAATACCAACATATCCTCCATTAGCATATTTCCATACCTCACCAGTTTTCAAACACATTAAAAAAAAAAAAAATGACTGTATCCTCAATTAGCATATTTCCATACTTCACCATTGTCCGCCGCCACCACTCTCAACTGAAGCCCAACAAAAATATGAACGTATCCTCAATAAATAATAGTAATAATGAAGATTATTTCTGTAGCGCTCACTCTCGTTGAAACTCAACTCTAGACGCTTTACATAAATGCATGAACGAAGAGATATTCACGAACGCTCGCACGCACGCACGCACGCATGCACGCGTGCACACACACACACACGCCCACACATACAGACTCACACACACAAACACATATCTACCGGTTTATCACACACGCACACTTACACATTGTTACGAAATGAGCACATACAAATACATAAAATAATTAGCATATTTCCTTCCATACCTCACCAGTTTTCAAACACATTTTTTAAAAAAATATGAATGTATCCTCAATTAGCCTATTTCCATACTTCACCATTTTCCAAACTCATACAATCGAACCTTTCAACTCTGTCCGTGAAACTCAAAATTCAATTTTTAAAATTTCTCTTCAAGATAGTAAATTCATGATTATGGATTCCACTTATATAGCTCATTTCCTCTAATAACGAACTCAAAGCGCTTTGCAGTAGGAATAAAGATAAGAATGATATAACTTAGAGATTCAGACAACTTCATCATCATCATCCAGTGCCAGATCTGCGACAGACATCGGCCATCATGGTTCTCCATTCATTCCTTTGCTCGGATGCTCTCAAAAAAGCCACGTTTCCCTGATCTTTCCCCATTACCCATTTGTTTAGGTTCCCCAAGTATGTTGTTCTGGGCCTTCCCCTGCCTCACTTGCCCTCAATTTTGCCAGTGAGAGCTAGATGTTCAAGACCCTTATGTCTATTTATGTGTCCGAAAAACTGCATTTATCGTTTCCTGATTATTTTTAACGTTGAGTGTCCCATGTGGGCTTCATCAAGCACAATCTCATTCAATTTCTTTTCCTTCCACGATACTCTTAGCAGTCTCCTAAGAAACCACATTTCTGTTGCTTTTATTTTATTTTCACTGTCTTTAGTGATTGTTCAGCATTCACAGCCATAAAGAAGGATTGACCAAACATAGCTTTCAGAACTTTCATTTTGGTGTTCATTGAGATGTTTCTATTTTTCAGGATTGGGCTCATTTTATTGAAACTAGCTTTAAGTCCCGGTTACACGCAACAATAAATAGTATCAGATTCGTCGTATGAGAGAACTGTCCGTTTTATCGAACTGCACGTTCCAATCTATCGTTCAGTTTTCTATCGATTGAGGAGATTCCTCGTCATAAAGCCACCATGTCTCTTTTCGACGACAGTGATTTGCCTGCTCTCTATGGGAAGGTTTCGAGCTCTGGACCTAAAGAATGAAAGGCGAACACTACCTCTAAATCACAGAAGCCGCCCCCCACCCCCCACCCCCTTTTCCCCTGTACATTTTGATATTGCCGAACAGTATCTTTAGAAAGGGTGGCCATACTCTAGGCCTACTGTGTTGTGTGTAGAACCGGAAGCTTTGACTTGACTGCAGATGTGCAACGCACCGAGTGACCTTGATGCACAGCTTCACAATTGACGATCAACTAAATAATAAAAGTGCTAAAATATACATAATAATGCACCAAATCAGGTTCACCGCGAGCAACCTTGCTTATTTTGAGACGCTGATTCCGAATATGAAATCAGTTTTTACGTACGGTAATTATTTGAAAAAATTTGAGTCCTGAGTTTAATTCTGCGCGGTGGCAAATTTCAAAGTGAATCTACGTCACAGCGCGTCTCCCTCAAGTGTGACCGTGATCGCACGAAAAATATCGAGCAGCGCTTGATTTCTCGACCGAGCCCTCAAACCATCGTTCATCGTCCAAATTTTGTACAATTTTGTGGTTACACCTAACGATTTATCGTATGATCGCTAGATCATCCAGCTTTTGTGCAATTTATCGTTACGTGTAACCGGGCCTTTAGCCATTGTAATTCTCCATCTTATTTCTGTGGAACATTTGGGATCAGATGTTATCATATATCCTAGATATTTAAACTGTTGGATAACTTACGTTGTAATAATCAAAATTTTCCAAAACGAGAGACTGCCTTGTGGTGATGGTACCACTCACTGGGTTGACCGCAAAAAAGTCGGTAGCAGTGTCATCTCCAATCGCTTTGTACCGGATCTGGTTAAACTCGCTCTGAAAGTTAAACGAAAGGAATAGAAATTTTTAAGAGACCACAATTGATTCCAATCCAAAAAGCAATTCATTTTCATTGTTTAGTCAAAAGAGAAGAACATTTACAGAATGAGGGTCACAGCCAGTGTTTAAGAGAGAGAGAGACAGAGAGATTAAATATGAGAGAGAGAGAAAGAGAGAGAGAGAGCAAGAGAGAGAAAGACTGAATGAGTGTGTGTTTATGGGTGTATGAGTGTCTGTGTCAGGTGAGCGAAAGAGAGAGAGAGAGAGAGAGAGAGAGAGAGAGAGAGAGAGAGAGAGAGAGACAAAGACTATATTTGTGTGTGTGTGTGTGTGAGAGAGATAGGAAGACCGAAGGAGTGTGTGTGTGTCTGTGTGAGAGTGAGAGAGAGAGAGAAAAATATTGAACGTGTATGTGTCTGTATGTGTGCATGAGAGAGAGAGAGAGAGAGAGAAAGATAAAGAGTGAGAAAGATAAAGAGAGAGAGAAAGAGAGAGAACATATTCAATGCATGTTTGTCTGTGTGTGTGTGACAGAGAGAGAAGGAAAGAAAGAGAGAGAGAAAGAGTGAAAAAGACAGAGAGAGAGAGAGGGAGAGAGAAATAAAGAGAGCGAGTGAGTACATTTGTGCTTGTAAGTGTGTGATGAAATCGCTGTTTTGATAACAACAACAACAACAACAACAGCAACAAGAACAACAACACCAACAACAACAACAACAGCAGCAACAACAACAACAACAGCAATCAACAACCTCAACAGAAAGCACCGTCTACTCACATTGACGTCACTATCACTGGCCAAGACGTTGATCACAGTGAAATCTGTGCCCACGGTCTCAGGGATAGTTGTCTCGTACGAAGCGTTGAAAAATATGGGCTGGAAGTCATTCCTCTGAACATTCACAAATACGAAAGCATTTGTCGGGGACGTTCTTGTCGTAGGGATGCCTCTGTCTTCTGCCTGGATAGAGATCTAAAAAAGGAAGAGGAAACCATGCAGATATTACACATGTGAGGCAGTGTGGTGAAATCAGGCACTCGTCAAAACAATTAAATCAAAGAAAACGGCATTTTTCTGGGTGTTAGGTAATTTTTTTCAAGTTTTTTCTTTTTGGCTCCCTCCTTTTGTTACCTTTTAAAAAAATGGCTTTCTGGGGTGATGTTACTGAAAAGCTTTCATTGAAGGCGCGAAAAACGTAAATTTTCAGTTTCCAAGGACTCTCAAGCTTTGAAAGTCACCAAACTTCGGCAGCCATTTTTTCAATAGTTTTACCTCTGACACCAGGCGATCCCTTCACCTTCAGTCACAAATATCTCGACTTCTATTCAAGATAGAGGGGAATTGTTTTGCCAAATGCAAGACAAATGAACACGTTTTACGGTGAAACTAATGACTCTATATGCCCCACAATTGACGAGCGCCTGATTCCACTGCATCTTGATACATATAAATATATTTTTTCATATGTAGACCTACATGTTTTGTGCCCTCATCGACACAATTTAGATCATCTATTAGAAGATGGACTTCCAACTCTGTCTGTCAGGACCAACCCGGACTGAGAGAGATACAACATCTCTGCAGAAAGACTGAGGTATTCCATAAGAATTTCTCCTAGCTCAGAATAAGAACTGTGGCCTCCTGTGTGTGACAAACACCAGAGATATTGTGTATCTGTGTTGACTAACTAAATAAACACCATCAATGTCAATTTCTTATTTCTTTTTATATTTGTCGCATGTCCCGTTTTCATGTGCAATGTTTAGGATCTTATTCGTATCAGATATCCATTGACTGTGAGAATGGGAATAAAAAATATACTATAATATTTCAACACTAGAGGGCAAGGATTAGAAAACATGAATAACAAAGATCAGATCTATTTGTAAGTATTCGATTATTCAATTAATCCTTTTCCTCCTGGCATTTGTCGAGTATTCTAGCTCCCCCTAAGCTCTCCTGGGGAGTGGGACACATACCCATTCTCCATTCTCCTCATATACAGAGACCAGAGTTTGAAGCTACAATATTTTATTTCTAAAACATAATGCAATCTCTCAGATAACCCAATGACAGCTCACCCACATGTTCTGAGAAGCACAAAGCCTAGCACGAATCATTGCATACATTTCTTTACTAATCATGATAATCCCATTATCCAACAAAATGCCAGTCTCGACACTAAAATGTGTTAATTTTTTTTAAGTTGTAATTTCCATTTTAAACCTGAATATTCTCTTGAGAATAAGAAGCAATCAACTTTCTTTGCTTAAAACGAGATAATTTTATAATACTTATTCAATTCTGTTTAACAAACAATTCAAAGTTCTAAATTTCTCAATACAAAAATCCTCATTAAAAAAATTCCAGCTCTTCCACTGAAGTATCTCCTTGAGACATTATTTTTTTATGTGCTTTCCAAGAGGTTATCGTTATCAACTTACGACAAACTGGTTTGCAGTCGAGTCGGTCAGGGACCTTTTCAGAGTGATGACGCCAGAGTCGTCGACGGAGAAGTAGAAGAGGGACAAAATGTCGCCTGTGATGGTGTAGTCAATTTGGTTGTGGGGAGCCTGCAGAGAAGAACAATAAAAAAAATAATACGTTTATATCGCCCATTTTCATCTCGACAAGAGGCTCATTCTGCATTACAATAAAATGGGTGAGACAAACAGATACACAATTGAAAAGATTTTTTTGAACTCTAAAACTCTAAAAAAAAAAAAAAGTTAACACAGCTTGACATACTGTTACTTTGATTTTTAAAATCCCTTATTACTATACATGTCTACTGCTATAAAAACGTGAATCAGCGCATACATAATACACAACTGGACATAAAGAACTTGATAATAGTTAACAACTAGCAATGGGAAAAAGTAATCTACTCGTCAGATGAAAGCCGGTGAGGAGGGTATTTAAAACTGAGCATAATAGCCACAAAACTTGAAGAGATTTTCCTGCAACTTTGAAGATTGGATGAAATCAAAAGAAGGAGAACCATATTAATAAAAGAAAAATGTAATAAAATAGCAAAAAGTTTTGGAAAGAAACATTTTATGTTATGAATAGGAAGTGTCTGTAAATATGCATTCCGCAATTGCAAAATAGAATTCACACTTACCAAGCTTAATCCTCCAAACATCGAGGGCCAATTAGATTAGCTGCAATTTTAGTTGCTATTTTGGTTCATTTCTCCTGAGTCTTTTTATATCGACATACACTTTAACTCTTTCACAAATGAGCTCTACTTCCTACTTACATTCTATTTTAAGGTCTAGGCCTACCAGTTTCTGACCTTTACTTGCCAACGAACAGTGTTGACAGGAGTATTAAACACCACGCACTTACTATTTTTACTACAAATGACAACTATTCTAAGAATTTCAAAGCATTTTGTCCACAACTTTATATACGAACACTCTTTTTAGGAGTACAATGATCATACAAAAAACACCCCACTCCTGACGGGATTCGAACACACGACCTTATGGAAGCTAGTCTCAGAGCCTAACCACTTACCAAAATGTCTAAGTCTCTCGCAGGTGCTGAAGCGATTGAAATAGCAAGGGGAAAGTTTTCCACCACGTTGACGGTTTGATTCTGTGCGATGAACACAGGGTCGTTCAAGTTACGATTGACGGTGATCAAAGCTGTCGCAGTCGCCGACGCTCCACCGCCATCTGTGGCCACGATGCGAACCTGAAAACATAATAATGATAATAACAATAATAACAATAATAATAATAATAATAATAATAATAATAACAGTAGTAATAATAATAATAATAATAACAACAGTAAAAATAATAATAATAATAATAATAATAATAATAACAGTAATAGTAATAATATTAATAACAATAATAATAATAACAATAATAATAATATTGACAAATAACATTTATTCAAGGCATTTCAATTAAGAAAGTGCTCAGCGCATTTTACAATAATACAAAGAATGTAGTTTCATAACTGGTCCATTCACTCTGTCACTCTGTCTCTCTCTCTCTCTCTCTCTCTCTCTCTCTCTCTCTCTCTCTCTCTCTCTCTCTCTCTCTCTCTCTCTCTCGTTTCCCACTCCCCCTCTGGAGTTTTATCTACATTATATTGATCAAGACTGTCAGAACACACAAAAACATACACTTTATCAAAAAGGTGCGATTTTAACTGATTTTTTATCATTGCTTGAGAACTCCAGTATCAAATATTATATCTGGGTAAGTACTTCCACATCAGATGACCGTTATACGAAAAGATGACTTAAAATTTTTATTTTTTTTAATTTCTTCAAAAGCGCTTTTTATACAATTACGTATTTAATTTCCCACATACGATGTAATGGCAAAACTGATTTGATCAAACACGTACAGTATATGTGAGATCATCGTCTGAGGTCAGAGCTCGGGAGACAACGACGACCGGGGTCAAGGAGTTGGTCAGCTTGAAAAAGTTGGGCGCTATTCCGTCCCCGATCATTTCATACTGGAGCTGGTTGTAAGGAGGCTGAAAAACAAGAACACAAATATTTACGAAACAAATAGAGGGCAACATTGTCTGCATCTATCGTAGTCTCGTCATATGATTACGGAAAGGAATACGGAGCACTTTTTTGGGAGCTTTAAACTCCTTCCTGACTACTCCCATACACTTAATGTCAGACTTTGTGAGCCAAGACGTCTCCCCCTGTACAATGTACGTCCCTGGCGGGATTCGAACACACGACCTTACGGCTGCTAGTCTTAGAGCCTAACCACTAGGCCCGCAATGCCACTTCAATAGATTTGAAAGGAATTTTACGGGAAAATCAATTAAACATTCAAAATCTGCAATAATGAAAATGTATGAATCACATAAATCTTTTATTTTGAAAGAGACTGAAACCGCTTATGATCTTGGCTAGCAAAAATTGGGCATAGTTAAAGTTGGAAAAAAACCCTACCTCTTGAATGGGTTAAATGCTTTATTCGCCCTAAAAGTAGAATTTAAAAGGTGAAGTATAAGGCCCAGCGATCGGAGTAAAGGAGAAGGAAGGAAGGAAGAGAGAAGAGAGAAGATACACAGAAGTGAACGTCGCTGGAGAACTTTGCACACCCTTCCGTTGACAATAACTTATTTTCTAACTCTATAACACACAGTTTTGAGAAGTTGAGATTCAAAGACTGACAGTCTTTTAAATGACCTATTTGTGTTGCAAATGCTGTAAAACTCTTACTAAAACTAAAACTAAACTAAAGAAGATGGTACCTGTGTGTCAAGGTCAGTAGCTTCAACCTCAACAACAAAGGAATCGATGCTCAGTGTTTGAGGAATCGTCGCCGAGTAGTCTTGCAGAGGGAAGAAAGGTAGCTGCTGATTTCTCAGCACGTTAATGACCAATACAGCAGTCCCTGACAAGGGTGGGGTGCCAAAGTCTGTGGCCGCGATGGTGACCTTTGGACGATCAGGAGGATAAGGCAGGGTCAGCATGTACATACATATATTTGCATAATATTATGTTTTTTACGTACACACATGTCCATTCATTTTTAAGGAGTTATATTTTTGTTAATATAATGCGCATTGAGCATTTTCTGGAAAACAGAAATGTGCAGCATAAATGATATTTATTATTATTTTATCATTATTCTATCAATGTCGATGAACCAGCATTAGAAAATCTGAGTTTATAAAAAGATTTCCAAATCACAACAGGAAGGCTATACATATAAAATCAGAGCAAACAAGTGCACTTTAAAAATGAGAAACATCGACAGACTGAAAAATGGGTAAAAAAATTCCTCTCTGATATTATCATAAATATTTTCCCCCGCATAAACTCTACTCAGACCATTTAATCCCTTTTTGACAGCTCCCAAACACCATATGTCAAACATCGTAAGCCAAGACGACGTCCTCACAAACAATGTATCTCTTAAAATGCACAAAAAACAGAATTTCCCCATCAACTGTTCTGCAATAGCTTTGGATGGAATTTCACCAGAAAACTAATCAAAGATTCAAAATCTACAATAATAACAAAAATGTATAATTGTATGAATCACGTACATCTTCAGTTTTGACAAGCACCACAAAATAACTAAAACTGGTCATCATCCTCGCGAGCAAAAACTGGGGACCGTTAAAGCTGGAAAAACCCTACTTCACAAAAGGGTAAAGAGTTGGTGGGATACATTGACTATGTTTATCTGATTACAATACGTGTCATGACGCGATGGAACCAGGCACTGGTCAGTTTTTGGGCATGTGGAGCTATTGGTAGCATGTAAAAGCTGATTTATTTGCCTTGCTTCCAATGAAAAAAATATATATTTATCTTGAATAGAACTCAAGATATCTGAGAGTTCTCGAAACTGGAAATTTACATTTTTTGTGCCTTTAATCAGTGTTTTTCAGTAAAAATCCACCAAAAAATGTGTTTTTTAAAGGACATAAAAGGTGTTGAGCCAAAAAAAGTAAATTAGAAAAAAATTGCCCATCAGACAAAAGATTTCTTTGATTTCATTATATTGACGAGCGCCTGATTTCACCTCGATGCCTCACATATGGTCTTTATTTCAGTATACCCTACACTGCAAGTAAAGATAAATCAAACGATCCATACAGATCTGTGTCTATAACAGAGAAGTGGATATAAAATATGTCTCTCTAATCGCTATGAATAGTCATAAGGGTCTTGAACATCTAGCTCACACTGGCAAAATTGACGGCAAGCGAGGCAGGGATAGGCCCAGAATAACATACTTAGGGAACCTAAACAAATGGGTAACAGGGAAAGATCAGGGAAACGTAGCTTTTTTGAGAGCATCCGAGCAAAGGAATGAATGGAAAACCATGATCGTTCGATGTCTGTCGCAGATTTGGCACTGGATGATGATGATGAATCGCTATGCTCACCTCATATCTTTCTGCTTTCGAGGTATCAGTCGAGAAAGGCTTCACCAGGAAAATTTCTCCCCCGTTGGGATCCACAATGTAGAGTTCATTGCCTGACTGTGGGCTCACATTCACAATATTGAACGCAATGCGGCTGTTCAAAGTGTTCTGGTGACAACAGAAAGAGAGAAAAAAAATGTCAGTAATAAGTGATCAAATTAGTGTTAACACTTTGCCACCTTATCTTGCCGATTGGTGATGTTTACCACCCAGTTGCTCTGGATTTTCCCCAAAATATGATGGCAAAGTGTTAAACAATTAACCCTTTTTTTGTCGTCAAATTAATTTCCCATAGAGGAATCAGAGTGGAATAGCAGCCAAATCATAAAAAGAGAGGAAACATTTCCCTGCAAACATCTGACAAAAACTGAATCAAAGCACAGAAAATCAACAAAAGTCAAAACACAAAGAAGAAAAGAAAGAATTGCAAATCAAATGTTTCATTTTCTGATCGAATTGTCATTCAATGTTCAATTTCAACAGCACTTGCGAATACCATGTAAATGACATTGGGAGAAAGAGAGAAAAGAGCATGTCTTCTTGAATCAAAAAAGATGCCACAGCCATCGTCAATACCATCATTACCAACAACAACAACAGCAACAACAACAACAACAACAGCAACTACAACAGCAACAATAAACACAACAATAACTACAACAATAAAAAGTAAAGTTGTTCCCGCATCCGATCTGGACATTTGGGACTGCCTTGTTTGTGCGACAACCTCCTGGGCCTTCGGCACATTGTGGTTGGGTGGCCAGTTCCTTTCCACGCCGCCTTTACTTTCCCAACTCGAAGTCAGCTGGTACCCATTACTGCTGGGTGGTCAGGAGGGGGCAAAAAAATCAGTGTCCAAACCGAGGCTCGAACCCGGACTTTCCGCTTCTGAGATGAGCGCACTAACCGCTCTTCCATCACACTCTCTACTACAACAATAACAACAGAAAAAGAAACAACAACTCACGGGTGGGTCCCCGTCGGTAGCGTCTGCCACAGCCAAGGTTGAGCCTACAGGGGCCGTTTCCTCCAAGGTTATTTCAGTCCTACTCAAGATAAGGTCTGGTGCATTGTCATTACGATCCTGAAAAGACAAACAAAAGAGAAAATCAGACCTACTCAAGATAATGTTTGGTGAATTATTGTCATGACGATCCTGAAAAGACAAAAAAAGATAAAAAAGTTCAGATTGCCACAGATAGTATTACACCCATCAGAAAAGACACAAAAGTAAAATCAGCAAGCCTGAAATAAAAACAGTATAGAATGTGTATGTGGTGTAAAAGAATAGTTGACAGCGGCCAGTCTCTACTGGTAACAATCTGACCCCGCACGGACCTGGAGAGATCCACTGGACTGGAGAGACCCGGTACTCACGAGTGAGTGAAAAGAGGGACCGAGTCGATCGGGGCAGACAGCAGTGGCCATTCGAGGCGGGCAGTCGCGCCAGATTACAGTGGAAAGAAATAACATTCATCTAGAAGGGGGCCCCCTATCTTCACCTACAAACAAACATCAAAAGAACCCTGGAACACAAGGTGAGCACTTATTCTACAGTGTAGGACCATTTTTTTAAAAAGGAGTACGGTAACAAACATTGGACTTACCAACACACTGACAGTAATTGTAGCAGACGCAGACGCCAGCGAAGATCTCTGACCGTCGACCGTAGTGACAAAGAAGACATACTCTGTGTCTGCCTCGTAGTCCAGGTTGGCTGTCGTAAATATCTGACCATTCGGTGTGACCTCAAAAGGCTGAGCCTCAAACCCAGAGAGAATGTACTCAATATTTGGCACAGAGTCAGCGTCAGTGGCCTGGCAAAAATAGAAGAAAAAAAATTATGTTTCATTAAACACATAATCTGTCAAAAATTGTTTTTAAAAATCTGTTTCATTTGACACATAATCTTCATCATCATAAAGTGCTAGATGTGAAACAGACAACAGCAGATATTGTTCTCCATTCACTTCTCCGCCAGAGAGAGAGAGAGAGAAAGAGAGAGAGAGAGAGAGAGAGAAAGAGAGAGAGAGACAGAGAGAGAGAGAGAGAGAGAGAGAGAGAGAGAGAGAGAGAGAGAGAGAGAGAGAGAAAATGAGAGAGAGTGAGAGAGAGAGAGAGAGAGAGAGAGAGAGAGAAAATAAGAGAGTGAGAGAGAGAGAGAGAGAGAGAGAGAGAGAGAGAGAGAGAGAGAGAGAAAATAAGAGAGAGAGAGAGAGAGAGAGAGAGAGAGAGAGAGAGAGAGAGAGAGAGAGAGAGAGAGAGAGAGAGAAGCAAGAGAAAGAGAGAGAGATCTTATCCAAACATCTGCAAACCACTGCTTTACATTATGAAAATCTCCAGAACAGTACAGCATTGAATGATAATTTTTCTGTCCCATAATACATCCTGGTTTCTTCAATACACACTTTAAATGTCACTCTCAAGCAACATTTATGAAAATCACAATCAAAAATCATACCTTCACATACATAGCAATGAATTTACAAAAGTAAATAAATGCTTATTTTAGCATCTGGTCTTCAAATGTACCAAACTACAGGATCTCCGAACTTAATTTCTTTTTCCCATCCCTTCCACATGAAAATATCGGATACGGCAGCAAAGAGCAAACGTCGTAGACCTCCATCTTTTTTAACTTGGCACTGTGCCGAAGAGCGTATGCTCAACGGCTACTGTATAAACAACAACAAAAACAACAATAAAAGCAACAACAACAACAACAACAATAGAAACAGGCAGTGTTTTCAGATCCTTAAAAGTACAAGTACATATCTTGACTTCCCAAGCACTTAATTTCTAAGTCAATACAAACACAACTAGGACAATTATTTTGTCTGTACCTGAACAGTTGCCACCAAGATGTTGGCTTCATTTTCTGGAACAGTCTCAACATAATTAGTCCGGACAAACAAAGGGACGTTATCCTGAATATCCAGGACGTTGACGGTGACGGTGGCGGTGCTGCTGAGTCTGTTCCTGGCGGTGTCACGAGCCACAACGGGGATCAGGTACTGTCTCTGCTGCTCGTAGTCTAGTGGAACCCTCGCCGTGATCACGCCGGACTGGAGGTTCACCACAAAGCTGGATGGAAAGTTTTAGTAAATTTTGAAAAGATGAACACTGCATAGAGATATAAGCATTGACCTAAAGGTTGCTGAATTACCAACAACGACAAAAAGTTATTCAAAAAGAGAAAAGGAAAACCAGATTAGAAGTTGATTGCCCATCTGGTAAGTTTTCACAAATTTTAAAAAGATGAACAAAGCATTGGGCTAAGGGTATTGACCCACAGTCTGCCAAATTACAAGCAACTATCAAAATATGATTCAGGGGGAAGAAGCATAAAACCTGGAAAAATTATTAGGAAGAAAAACTGAGACATAGAAGCTGAACCATGATCGAAAACCAAGATTTTTGTTAAATGGGAGAGCAGAATACAATTTTATCTTGTCAGTCCTTGGTAGAGTCAACAGGCCTGCACATAAAAGCTCATTAACAATCTATCAACGTTCACGAGAAGACCCCAAAAAAATCAACCCTTTCTCGACAAATTACATTATTTTCAAAGTTTGTATCCAAAAAAAAAAAACTACAAAAAAACACAAATATGCCAACCATAGCAAGTAATTTTTGTAGTCTGGAAAAAGCAATAAAAAAACTCTTTTGACTGAAAAATGTTTAATTGCTCGTAAAGAAAAACATTCTACAACTAAAACAAACTAATATAAATCAGAAGCAGCTTGTTTGGCTGCCAGACACTCTGCTAGATTCCTACAGTAAGCATACATGAGTTACCCCAATACAATGGATACATGAAAGAAATAAAGGAAGAAATAATACACACAAGTGCTTATAACACGTGTACATTTGAGCACAAATGTTGATACAAATTGTACCAACATTAGAGAGGTTGCTTCTTCAGCCAGTGTACAGTGAGTTGGCTTTCAACCCCCTATCCCCAACCCAAACAAAAATTATTCCCAGCTACAGAGATCTATACAGAGAGTGGGAAAAAGATGAGCAGAGAAGAATTATGTAACATGATTTTCAAAAGCCTTCTCCAAAACTATATGATTAGTTAAATAAAGGTGAAAAAAAGTTGGGGGTTTTATAAGAAAGAAAAAAAAAGAAATGTTACATGAAAAGCCTTCTAATCCAAAGACTGGAAATGACTTAAAAGTGAGTCGAGAGAGAAATGAAATGAAAGATTGGAAATCTAATATAAATCTACCAATGGAGACTTCACATTTCATTGTATTATTGAATGAGTAATGGTCTTCATGCTGTGACAATTATAAAGAGAAATATAAGTCCTAACAGAGGGATAGGAGTGAGATAAATATAATTCCTAAAAGAGGGATAGGAGTGAGATAAATATAATTCCTAAAAGAGGGATAGGAGTGAGATAAATATAATTCCTAAAAGGGGGATAGGAGTGAGATAAATATAATTCCTAAAAGAGGGATAGGAGTGAGATAAATATAATTCCTAAAAGAGGGATAGGAGTGAGATAAATATAATTCCTAAAAGAGGGATAGGAGTGAGATAAATATAATTCCTAAAAGAGGGATAGGAGTGAGATAAATATAATTCCTAAAAGAGGGATAGGAGTGAGATAAATATAATTCCTAAAAGAGGGATATGAGTGAGATAAATATAATTCCTAAAAGAGGGATAGGAGTGAGATAAATATAATTCCTAAAAGAGGGATAGGAGTGAGATAAATATAATTCCTAAAAGAGGGATAGGAGGGAGATAAATATAATTCCTAAAAGAGGGATAGGAGTGAGATGAATATAATTCCTAAAAGAAGGATAGGAGTGAGATGAATATAATTCCTAAAAGAGGGATAGGAGTGAGATGAATATAATTCCTAAAAGAGGGATAGGAGTGAGATAAATATAATTCCTAAAAGAGGGATAGGAGTGAGATGAACATAATTCCTAAAAGAGGGATAGGAGTGTGACAATAGAACTTTAAGCAGTAGGTGGATATCAACTCAAACCATATGCAACTTGTTACCCAGTGCAAAAAATTATGATGATTGCTCAATAAAACCTGTGATGTATCAAAAATAAAGATCATCACCATGCTTCTGTGTTCTATCCCGCAAAATTATTCAAGAAATAAATGTTTTGTAATCTGAGAAGAAAAAATTTTACTTATTTTCAAAGTTAGCATCTCTTATTTCATGATAATTGTTCACTTTTAAAACTATGACGGGAAATGTTTTGTAATTCAAATTGTTGTCAAAGACAGATAACAAAAGAGAAGAGTGTATGAGGATTGCAATCTCCAGTGAGTTTCTAATATATAACAAACAGGAAATATTATATATATGCAGTATATGTGCATTGAGTTAACTAAAGCCCAGAGACGAAAGAAACACTACTGTTTTCCGGAGAAGGAGGTGAAGGAGATTATAGTACAGTAAAAGATAAGCGTAAGATAAGAAAATATGTATTTTTTGGTTCATCAAAACTTACGTATCAGAATCACTGTGGATGTAAGCAGAAAGCATAAACAATACACAGCAGCGAAGGGTTCACACAAGGAATCTCACGAGAGTCCCTCTAAGAGTTATGATCACACTCAAGCAAAAGTGGTCGATCACAAAAACGAAGAGGTGCACTTCCTAGTAACTGCATATACTGGTTTCTTAATTTCATAATTGTTACTAATACAAGTTATTGAGAAGAGAAGAGAAGAGAGGAGAAGAGAGGAGAGGAGAGGAGAGGAGAGGAGAGGAGAGGAGAGGGGAGGGAAGGAGAGGAGAGGGGAGGGGAGGGGAGGGGAGGAAAAGAGAAGACAAGAGAGGAGAAGAGAAGAGAGAGGAGGAGAGAAGAGAAGAGAAGAGAAGAAAAGAGAAGAGAGGAGAAGAGAAGAGAAGAGAAGAGAGGAGAGGAGAGAGGAGGAGAGAAGGGAGGAGAGGAGAGGAGAGAAGAAAAGAGAAGAGAAGAGATAAGGCAAGGTAAGGTAAGGCAAGGTAAGGTAACATTAGTAACAATTTACAGTTCTCTACAAAGACAAATTTGCTGCTGCATGATATATACTCACACCTCTTACATAGAGGATACTTTATCCTTTAATGCTTACATAATGGTTTCTCATTCCTTAGCGAGCACTCATATTTGTTTTTTATTCCGTAATCATTAATAAATTTTCGGATCTATCTGGAAAATTGGCACTTCTGTTTGCGAAGTTCTACCAACAGGGTTTCATATCCAATTATAAACAGTATGAAACCACCAGTCAGAGTGCACACATATCGTTGTATCTTACACTGTCATTATAAAGCTCAACACAATACCATGTTAGATGAATGAAAAAAGGTTCATAGTAAGCTGATTAAGTTTTCAATCTTTCATCTGTCATCTGTATCTGTCATCTGTCAGGTGTCATCTGTCATCTGTCATCTGTCAGCGCATGGCCACGTTCATCTACTGGTGCCTCAAGCCTTGCCACTACAGGCCTCCGCCTTCCCCAAAAATTACCAGCAACAACAAAATTAAGACCAGTGCAGGTGAAAAAAGTAAGTCCACACTCAAAAAAATATTTTTAAACATCTTTTCAGTTACTTTCATTGATCATCACTTTGGTAACGGGTAGCTTTTACTTGTGTGTTATAAGCAAACAAATCATCCACACTTCAGGTTTACAGAAAAAAAAATTTACAGCTCATAGTTCTGAGCCTTATGACGTAGGAATTAATTGCACCAACAGCCATACCTCAATGAGTCCAGAAAGTAGGTGACTTGTGAGTTAGGGTTTCCAGCTTGATCAGCATCCACAGCCTGTGAGACAAAAGGAATATATGTGTCACAACGTGGTGAAATGAGGCGCTCGTCAATTTTTGGGCATATGGAGTTATTGGTATCATCTAAAAGATTGTTCATTTGCTTGCTTTTGATGAAAAAATATCTATTAATTAACTTGAATAGAAGTCGAGATATCTGCGATTGAAGGAGGTGGGGTCACCTGGTTTCAGAGGCAAAATTAATGAGAAAATGGCCGCCAAAGTTTGGTGAATCTCATAGAATAACTGTCCTTAGAAACTGCAAATTTAAATTTGTTGTGCCATTAGTCAACGTTTTTCCATAAAACCCACACATAAAAATGTTTTCGAAAGGACATACAAGGTGTTGAGCCAAAAAACAGAAATTCTGAAAAAAATTCTAAACTGGCCGAAAAATGTCAATTTCTCGGATTGAATTCTTTTGACGAGCGCCTGATTTCACCACGATGTCTCGTATATTGCCCAATAAATACCACAGCAGCAACACTGTACGTGTGAAACGTACTGACAAAATGAGTTACTCTTTGGATTGAAGTCTAAAGGAAATAGATACATCACGCTAATAGGTAAAAATTTTATCATTTATAAGTATAAAATAATAGAAGACAGGTTATAGTTAAAGAATATGGCATCAAAATAAAATCTACAAATAATTTGACCCTAATGTCGATTTTTGGCCAATATCTCCATTTGTGGATTGCGAGAAGTGACTCATTCTGTTAGCACGCCTCACATATAATGTATCCACATGTGTTCACAGCAGCATTGTGAACATGTTAGACCAATGCGTATCTACCTTTTTATAGCAATGTCGACTACATGTACCCGTGCCCACACTGCGGGCGAACCTTCCGAGCCCGGATAGGCCTAATCAGCCATCTCCGGACCCACAGTCACGGTCAACAGACCAATTTATGAAGTCTTGGTCATCTTCATAAGTGACGGACAAACAACAAGCACCGCCCACTTTTGTCACCTTTAATGTTTGTACCATTAGCCTACACGTATTTCCAAGAAATGCATTAACTCTTTAACCATGTCTGGACAGTCGCAGCGCCCGGTAGTCGATGTCCGTAACCATGGCTGGACGGTACGACCGTCCGATGCGAAGTTATTATATTGTATTATGGTACGGGCGAATATAAAAAAGTACGAGCAACCAAGCCTTTAGTTTGACCCGGAAGTCAAAGATAAATGAATTCTACATCTGGGTATGCTTTATTGATCAGTTTGACACGAAACAAACGGTTTTAAAAATGTAATATGTCACGTCGCATTTCCACAAACACGAGAAAATTACACGGAAACGTGATTTTAAATAGCATGGTTGAAGAGTTAAATAATGCCTGTTACTACAAGGGTGATCCCCCCGCCGCTCAATAAATTACCAAAAATAGCCCACCCCTAGTGGGTGACATCACCTAGGTTGGCCAGCACTGATATAAACCCCATACACATAGCTGTTTTTCCATCTACAGAAGAATCAGGAAAGTCAGAGTATTTCAACACAAGGACTTATCACAGATAGATAGGCCTACACTACCACATTACTGGAAAAAGGCAACATGCTAAAAACATAAATATGCTCAATTTGGACTTACATTTTCAATTAGTGACTTAAAAATTGTGAGCATATTATCATTTTTCATTGCTTACCCTCACTGAAAATCACTTAGCAGAAAAGGAAACATTTTGCGCTTAAAAGAGAAGAATAAACAATAATAACACACCATTCAAATTCAGCACATTTCTTAAAAACCAATCTCCAATCTCCAACAAAAGCAAAGAAAAATGACTTGAAAAAGAAAAGCTTATTTCACACACTTCACTGCTCAAAACAACTAACTTAATAGATATAACAGCATGTTACTACTAGAGCAGCCAGGACCACAGCCAATAAATTCTGTGGCATCTCATTTGTGTTAACGAAGAAGAGGAAGGTTTCATGAAATAGGCCACATGTAGCCAGGAACAGATTCAGAGCCATAGAAAGCTGAAACATACGATAAATGGAAAGTTTGACCTCACTAGACCCAACTACCGACAGTTCAAACATCTTTTTAAAATGATAAGTTTACCAAAGACGGAGAATCACTCAGAAAGCTACAGAAAGCTGAAACATACAAAAGGAAAGTTTGACCCCACTAGACCCAACTACCGACAGTTCAAACATCTTTTTAAAATGATAAGTTTACCAAAGACGGAGAATCACTCACCGACACAGTCCCAACAATTACGTCAGTTTGTCCTTCCGGGGCACTGAATATAATCGGTGTGTTGACGAATATCGGAGCATTATCGTTTATGTCATCCAGGAAGATTGTCAACTGATATGTGGTCTGGAAAATAAAAATCAGAAAGAAGGCATAATATGAATACAGAATAAAATGTGCATACACCACCTTCTGTAACAGTCTCACAGTCATACTGTGCCGGAACAACATAGTGGGAACTGCTGCTTTTTCTTTCCTCATCCTTACTATCGTCATTTTTCCTCTACTTCTTTTGTATGTTTGTCACTCTCTTGTGAACTGCTATTCCCGGGGTGCCTTGATAGTCTAAGCAGACTTTGTGCTGTTGAGGCTAGAGAGGTAAGCAGAGTAAGCCTGATTTCTCCATTTCGACTTCTCTGTTGACATCCAGCCCTTGGTGCTCATATGACCTTATGCAGTTGCGAGCACCGTAAAACCTCACTAAAACAAAACAAATCAGAGAGGGATGGAAATATAATATAACCCTTGTATATAAAACTTTTATCTGTCTTGATAAGATAACACTGCCTTTCAATAACCATACTTTCTCCAATAGATAAGCAAAGATCTTTTACTAAAACTTTATGAAAATACCTAACAAGTACTTTCATCAAAACATAATATTGTTACATTCACAGATGCACATTGAAAATGTAGGCTTACAAAGTCAATTGAAGTTTAACGATGACTAATATTCATTTACATTAAATTAAATCATGAGTTAAAGTAAAATCTGGCCTGTCATGTTTACCTGCACACCGTTGGTGTCAGTACAGATCAAACCATACGTGACCGACACAAAGTCGTCCTGAGTACTTGAGGTAGGCCCCTGTCAATGACATAACATTCATTTGGGTCAAAAGAAAAAAAGATTTGATAATGAATTTATATTTAACAGTCATTAAAATTTTACTAGAAATCTATCACCTAAAACAATTAACGTATAGTCCTCCGCCCTTTCCTCACCAGACAGACAGAAAGACAGGTGTACGCAGGCGCTCACACACATACACACACACTCACACACTCACATACACACACACACATACACACACACATACACACACACACACACACACACACATCCCCCCATGCGATAAAACTGCCACATTTCTACTCTATAATGGGTAGCCCTCTTAGATAATTTCACATGTATAAAACATTAAAATACAGGGGTTTTTTAAAAAGAAAAGAAAAACCTTCAGAGTAGCCTAATGTGTACAGCCTTCGGACCCAAGATTTTAGACCCCTTATCCAAAGCCAAAAGGAGTAAAAAATATTAAACTAAAAGAGACTTTGAGCTTCAGAACATTGACGTTATAGCCGATAGTACGTTATAAGCCATGTAGATGTCTTCGTTATTCCATGCCGAGGGTTTTCTGTGTTATTTTGCATAATAATTATATAATACAATACTCCACTAATTGCATTTTCAAGGGGCATAACCACCAAAGAAACTAGAATTTAGAAATCTTATGCCTCGGTCCTGTTACAAGTCTTGTACGTTATACAGAGGTTTTACTGTAGGCCCTATATATTATATTATAATATACTCTATGGTATAGTATATATACATTTTGTATAATATGCAATATGCCACTAGCTTTCTCAAGGGGCATAACCAGCCAAGAAACAAGAAATCTTTTTCTTACGTCTCGGTCCAGCTCTTTCTTGAGGCGAACGTTAATCCCATCAAAGTTATCTTCCGTCAGGAAGTACTCGGAAGGGGAAATAACCGCGTTGTTCTGAATGAGCTGTAGCTGGACGCTCTGGGCCAGATTAGGCGCGAGTACTCCGTTGATTCCGATTAGGGCTCTGTAAGCCAGGGGGTTCAAATCCAGTTCTGAGGAAGACAAGAATGTGGATGAGTGAAGGAGAGGTGAGGAACGGAGGAAGAGTAAGAGGGAAGGGGGAATAATCGATGTTATAAAAGTGAGAGGGATGAAGGGGGTTGGGGAAATGCCGGGGG